ATGTTTAAAACCTGGTCCCATGGTGCTATCTGGGGAGGTTGCGGAGGTGGGGTCCATCTACAGGAAATGGGTGGCCGAAGGTTGGCTTTAAGTTTTATAGCCAAGGACCACTTCCTGTCCTCTCTCTGCTTCTTGGTCCATCATAATGTGAAGTCCCATCCACGAGCTCTTGCTGCCAGGCCTTCCCACCCATGATGGGCTGTACCCTCAAACTGTAGCCACAATAAGTCCCTTACACTGTTCCTTATCAGGTGCTTGGTCACCACAACAACTATACACCAGCTATTGCCCCAACTGCTGAAAACTCCAAATGTGCCCTGTGATCCTTTGGAGGAGCCACAGAAACTCGGGGCCCTTTGGGAAGTGGTATCTCTACCACCAGGACCTACTTTTATGTATGTATGTGTATTCACATACATGATACATAACTAATGACACAAGACATCTTACTGAGTCTTGATGAGGACCACGATACTTAGACAGGTGCGTATATGCCACCTCCTTTAATCACCAGTGTAGTGGCATATTTTCCTCGAAAGTTGGGAGGAGCTAAGGTGGGAAGAGTAAGGAGAGGAAGAGGAGGAGTAAGGAGAGGAAGAGGAGAAAGAAGAGGAGGAGCTAGGGAGGAGCAGAGATGTAGGAGCCATGGATGACCATGCATGTACCGAGAGCAGTCCTGGTTAACAACTTATATCTAGGTTAGTTAATTGGTTAACACTTCCTATCGTGTGTATATCTTGTTTTTTGAGCAGTACCAAATATGTAAAGCCTTTGAATAACTTTTAAACATTAGAGTCTCATTTCTACTGGGTACCGTGTGGATGGTGGGACGGTCTGGGCTCAGCCCAGTCTTGTGGAGACAGCATGGAAGATTGGCAGAGCCATCTCCCACGATGGCATCTCGTGGGTGGCAGGGCCGGTGTCTCTGGACACCTGAGCCGGCGGCCTAAGCCGAGCAGTGGCAAGAACACGCCACCGCTGTTGCTCGTGGCTACAGGCCTAAGCTAGTCGGGAAGATGGCGGCTGATTAAGAACAAGCAAGATTGAGTGCCACGGTTTTAAAATATTACTGCAACACACCAGAGTTTCCCATGTGATTCAGTAAATTGTATCCTCCAAATATACATATCTAAGTCCTTAATCCCTGATACCTATGGGCATGGCTTTCTGGTGAAATATCTTAAAAATATAGTTAAGGAGCTAAAAGCAAGATCATTCCATGTTTAAGCTGTCCTCAAAGCCAAAGGCTGGTGTGTCCTTAATAAGAGAACAGGGAATGAACTGGAGACTCAAACTCATAAAATCCACTTGAATCAAGAACTGATGGGACTGGTTGCAATTTCATAGACTCCATTCCTTACATAAAGAAGGTTGTTTACAATCATGTGGACAGTGGACATGGGGGTGTGAACTAAATCAGAACTGTCACAATCCAAAACCCATTCTCTTATCTAGTGGGGCCGGCTGAGCCTGGTAAACCTTGGAATATCCTCTAAGCATAGCCCCTTCTGAGAACAGCTAGGTATAAAAACCAAGGGCCCACTGAGCACATCACTTATTGGGATGTTCACAGTTCTGAGTGACTCAGAAGACTGAAGTGGAAGGAACGGAGACTGACTGTTCTCTCTTGTCAGAGATAAGGGTTCTTAGACATAAAATTTCAGGGCTACAACCTCAATAAGGTAGGTGTTTGGTCTCCCTGTATGAGAGACACACAGGAGTGAGAAGACTAAGACCCACCCTTGTGGGAGACTGGGGAAGCCCAACTGGGGAAGGACAAAGCCCCGACTTCTGCACTGTTTGTCTGTCCTCTCTCACTGTGTGTCTCCTTATCTACAAACCACCCGGCAGGTGTTAAATGCTTCTGGTATGCCCAGCCAGGTCCTGAAAGATTTGGCCTAAATGGTTTCTCCTCAATTATCCAAAACTAGCTGTCACCTTCTTGCAGCACTGGGTGCCTTCAATGTGTGTCTTAAAGCTGGACTACTTGCACTGGCCCAGTTAAACAAGGACAATTCTCCAAGACAAGCCAGAGACCAGGACCACTGTTACGAGTGCCACTTACCACAGTATCCTGGCGTGATGGGCAGCTCTCTCATGAAGGTCTTGGGAGACTCCATTTTACTCTGCAGTGAAGGGAAAGAGCCAGGAAGTGACCTCAAGAGTTCCCCACCTCGAGGACTTTCTGCCCATGTGCAAGAGTTCTTGAGTATGAAAGAATGACTTTGTCAGGGGCTCAGACTGAGAGCTACACATCCATCACACACAAAGCTAGATGGCAGAGCTTCTGTTAGTTATAAACCAGAGACCTAGTACCAAGGGCTCATTACCTTTTATGTGATTTCCACCTATGAGTGTCTCACTCAGAGAGACACCCCTCCTACCACCCCCACTTATCCATCCATCCATCCATCCATCCATCCATCCATCCATCCATCCATCCATCTAATAAAACTATGTGTCTATTTAGCCATGACAGACAGGGCAGAGTTGTGAACATAAAGAGGAACAGGACTCAGGAGCCACTATTCGAGAAAGAGCTCATGTAAGGCCCATGAAACTTGCATAGGGGGAGATGTTAAGAAGCTCATTTCTCCACAGCAGAGTCTTAATTCAGGCAGACTCTGCTTTTGGTAGCAACTTGTGTTGCTAAGTCCCTTTACTCTCAGAATATCTGACAATGTCTGGAGACATCTTAGGTGTCATAACTAGGGGGACAGAATGCTACTGGTATCTTGTGAGTAGATACCAGTGAGATACTAGATACAGTCTTGTGAAAGACTGGTTCAACTTTATTCAATGCATATGAGACAGCCCCCAACCCCCAACAAAGGCTCAGAGCACATCTGTCTTAGGAGAATCTGAAATCCATAAAAAAAAAAACAAAACTTGGCATAGAATCCAATGAGGGGAGGAGTAGAGGTGGTAGGTAACCATTCTAGTACCAGATACATAGAAACCACCTCTGGAGCTAAGCCCTTCGTTCCAGGGATAATCAGTGGTCTCCCACAAGGAGCCCAAGGTTTGCCTGTGGATCCTGTGGCTCATCTATCCTGCCAAACCAGTGCATCTCTTTAAAGTGATACTTTTGAGGCCACACCCTGAAGTCGAAAAGGAGGTGGGGGACACAGTCAGTTGTTGAAAAAGTCCAACACCATGCAGCCAAGAGCAATGGAGGTGGGACACACCCAAGGTCCACTTAACCTCTGGCACTGTGTACCTAATGCCTGAGAGAAGGCTGGGTTTAGACTGGCAGGCCTGGCTGGGAACCCATGTCCATCTCAACATGGGTCACCTGCTGGCCAAGTTCTCAAAACCTGTACAAGCAGAAAGCAGAGAATCCTCCCGACAGCTCCATAACACAAATACTGCCCTACTGTTAAACCAGTTTCCAGATAAGGATTAATAAAGACAACGGGCACTTATAGCATACTAGCTATGGGTCATGGCTGAAGGAAACTGTATTCTTGTTGACACTCTACAGTGTCATAGAGGTGTCTATTGAAGTCGCCACACTTAACAGATGAGGGGGAAAAATCAGAGCATAGAGATAAGTTGTTTCAACGCTCTGGAGGGGGGCGCGGGGGCGGAGCAAGGACTGCTTAAATTCCCGGAGGCAGGAAGTGCTGAGTGGGACCCTTGGGTGGTTAGAAACAAGCCATCCTGTAAGGGACGGGGCGGGAAGGAGTTTGGAGGACTTGGGCTGGGGGAGGGGGGAGAAAGGCAGGACAGGGATTAGAAGAAAGGACCCTTCTCCACTCACTTCCCACGGGGTCCCTGCTCTCACCTCGGCCGGTCTGAGCACTCCCAGGGAACCAGTCAGCTCTGCCTTCCCACAGGCTTTCCCAGACCTTTGTGAGCTCACCCTGGCTGGGCGGGGCAGATGCTGGATTCATACGGGATATTTGTAGCTGACCCCGCCCCTTACATGGGGACCAGGGGTCGGGATGACACCGGAACAAGAACTACAGGCACTTGGTAAACCCAGTAAACTTGGCCGCTAATATCTCAGCAGCCAGTTCTGTCCTGCACTGCGAAGTCCAGATGTTTGCCTCATCAATGTTTGTTCTGGGAGTTGTTGCCAGTAGCTTGAGTGCCTCATTCCCACCTGGGGAGGCGGGACTGGCCATTATAGACACATCCACATCCCCACCAGCACTCTATTTCCCCTCAAAGGTGGACAGTGGTCGCTACAGACACCCCGCCCCCCACCATCTGAGGGCCAGCAATGAGCAGGAGGCAGTCTGGGAAAGGAAGGGCACTTTCCTCAACCCCTCTGTGGACATTTTTCCTCTATCAGAAGAGCTAGGGGTTGTTTCTGGTCCCTCGCCTCCCAAGGTCCCGGGACACAAGCGCTTTACCAAAATGAAAGTGTACTTGAGGAAGTTGTCTTACTTCCGGCAGTGGTTTTATGGAAAGAAAGAGGGCCGGGCCATCATTTCATTTTGACCAACTCTCAATGTGATGCCGTTGTGTGGACCAATTAGGGCATGGATGGCCTTACAGTTCTGCCTGGCTGTTGGCTCTACAGAGGCCAAGGGGCATTCCAATGACCATCTAAAGCTCATTAGTGTGTTTCCCTAGAGAGTACAGGACTGTACCCTCCTGGACATTGAACTTTAGATCAATCCGGGGGAGCCAACCACCTTTTTACTCCCTTGGACCCGTGAGACCACATCTCAAGCCACCTGACACCTCTAGGGCCAATTTAGAATGTGCTCCGGAGGTAGAGCCCGGAAGGAAGCCCAGGATTTAGACAGCCAGCCTCTGCCTGCAGGGATGCCCCGAGGGTAGGGCCTTAGACACTTTTAATGATTTTCATCAACTCATTCTGCTTCTCTATAGCTAGACCACTTTCTTCCCATTTGGAGGAGACAGGACTCTGGGCATCCATGGAGCTTTGGTTCCTAGCAAAGGGCAGGCTGTCAGTAAAGATTGTACCATGATCCCCCTATAATCCCACCTACACCCCCAAATGAGAAAAACTATTTTAGGCGACGTGAAATTGAGAGTTTTACTTTATTAGAATCTGTGAAGACAGAGTTTGCAGACACAATCCTGTCTAGTTGTGAACTGCTGCAAAATTCTGTGAAGTTTGGATCTATCTTGTAGAGAACAAGACTCCCAGTGGTTCAGGTCTTAGGACATTGTTCCATATTGCAAGCAGATGAGAGGTGTTAAGAGATATTATGGCCAACAACTTTTATACTAGCCATCCACTTAAGCCATTCCCCGGCATACGTACTGCGAGACCTAATCACAACTATTACATCACTACAGTGTGAAGTTCATCTTCGATTAATAATGCATTTTGACTCCTGTTTATATTGGTGCATGCAATTCTTTGCTACCCTGGCAATTAACCAGACCTGGACTCTAAAAGCTAAACTTGGTCTAAGTAACATTCTAAGGGCAGGGCAGGCTCTGTAACCTGGACTCAGCCATGACTCCTCAGAACCTCTTCTGTAGCACCTCCTCTTTCCTACCGCCTGTCACTCTGCATTTATGAACACCTGCTGTGTACAGGAAAGGTTAAGTGACCAGATAACCTATGCAGAGGACAATCGGTCAAGACCACAGACCTTCTGGAACTTTCTAAGACTGGGAAATGTGTTCCAGGTGTAACTCATCCAGTGTTTCTAGTAGGATTATTTCAGTTAGGGTAGGGATAGATTGGAGCTCTTTACTAAGAGTTTGGCTACTGGGACTGTGTCTCTGGGCCTGAAGGAAGTCCAGTAAAATCACACCCTTCCTCCATCATCAGTTTGCTAACAATGCAGATTTCTATCAGTTTGTGTAAGTAACATAGGAGGCCAGGAGATATAAGGTAAGGAGTGCTTTACGTTAGCCAGGAAAAGCAGGACTTGACTACACTGCTCCCACTCTTTCCACCCAATGGAACCCTTGGCCCGTGGACCAGCTGGTCCCTTTGATCGTGAAGCAAGCCACCCTACCAGACACAAAGCGTTTTGGTAGGCACTGTTTCTAGAACCAGTACGTTCAGCACGCAGAGTCTGGATGGGAGAATTGCTACATTACTCTTTATGCAGAGAGTGTTCAGCTCTGGGTAGGGTGTGCAGGTGTGGAGGGGTCTGATGAAGCTGTCCATCTAGGTAATCTGTGTGATCAGAATACTCTGACCCAAGGCACCTCTGTCTATTGCTCAGTCTTGTATACACAATCCACTGTGGGGTAACAGCACAGACAGCAACCAGTGAGAGCAGTTCAGAAATGAAGCTGTAGAGCTTACAGGCAGCAGCGTTATTAACCAAAATGAAGAGTAGTTTCCTTTTCAAACAAGCACAAGTAGAAATAAAGATTCTGTACAAGATTCTAGTGTTCTATGTACATAAAATTATATCCATTATAACAAAATTGAAAGTCTATTTGAGGACTGTGGCTGGAAACACCCATGAGCTAGAAGCAGGGTTAGCAGGGAGTCCTAGAAAGCAAGCATCCTGAGGTCTGGATTTGAGACCCTGCCGTTCAGTCTGGGGCTCCCACTCGCTTGTTCTGTGGTTCGATAGCGTTTCTTCACATTCTGGCGGGGAGTTCTGCGGCAAGCGGCGTGGAGGAGGAGACGACAATAGGTTGAAACTCAAAATGTTATTTAAAATCTGCGTATTGGCTATGATGATGGTTCACAAATCCAACTTGCATTTGAAGTCCCTTCTCTCATTCTGTATCTGTCCGTCCGTCCATCCGTCCATTCATCCGTCTGTCCATCCATTCATTATGCATGCTTCCAGTGATTTGAAATCAGGATGAATTCCAGCAGGTGGGAAAGACATTTTTAAACAATAAAAAGGACTATGAGACAGATTCTTGATTCTTTATCCTCATTTGGCTCCCGAATGTTGAGGAGACTAGCCTTGCACAGAGGGAAGAACACAGAACCTGGCTGGCTCCTTGGGAGGCTTCACTCTCCTGGTTTTTCTCCTGCTGTTTTTTTCCTTCTCTGATCCTTCCTGTGAGGGTTAAAAGGGCAACAACCTCCGAGGGCGGGTAGATCTCCAACCCTCTTACCTAGAGGGCAGAGTGTAGTAGGTTCATGCTCTCTTCCCTGAGGGAAATCTCACAGGGATTGTTAAGGCCACACACTGTAGTCTGTGGTCACTTCAGCTTGGAGGGAATTCTCACATTCCAACACTAAGACCTCAGACCCTGTTCCTCCAGAGTCTGCGCTGTCTGAAAGGGATTAGGTTCAGGAACTGCTCTTGGCAAGCACCAGGTGATTCTGAGGCCGGAGAGCTACAGGGCTGCCTCCATTTACCAGGTCTAGGCTTACATAACTCTTTTTAGGTGAATTTGAAAAGCTCCAGGTTTGACGGAGACATTTCATGGAACAGAATCTCCTTTTATATTTCCTTACAGTGGGATGAAGAATTGGGGTAGGGGAAGGAAGAGGTTAATGGAAACTGTGCATGGTTTGCAAGGCTGTTTTGGATTTCTGGGTGTGGTGATAGATATAAACAGAGCAAGTAGAAATTTCATTTTCTCCAGTTAAATTCCTACTGAGGCCACCCAAGGTCACCTAGAATTATGAATGACCTGTGAACTCAAGGTTTGTTGTTCTGATAACTACTTTCTGATCTGCGTTTTCATTTACTGGGTTTTCAATTAACTGTGGTCCAAAAATGCACAGTGGTGTCGTATAGTAATAAGATATACTGAGACAGACCACATTCGTATACATTTTATCAAAGTGTTTTCATAATTGTCCTATTTTGTCATTAGTTACTATTGCTAATCTCTTACTACTTTATTACATTGAACTTTATCATAGGTATGTAAGTATAGAAAAAACATAGTATAGATAATTTTTGGTACTATCCACACCTTTGGTCATCCACTGAGGAATCTCAGAATTTATACTCTCCAGGAAAAAAGGTGACTGCTGTAATTTGGGGTATGTCACTAACTCTTCAGTGTGTATTTCCACCAAAATAAGTTGTACCTACTCTGGAAAAATTGAGGTATCCACACTCTTACACCCACCCCTGTCCTGGTTGAGTTAGCCAAGGTTGCCCTAGCCTTCGTTTGGGCCTCCTTGGAATCTAAATTGTATGAGAACCCAAAACAGTGCCTGGTCTTCTCCCACCAGCTTAAGAAAAAAAGAATACTGTAAGTCGCCACTGAGTCACCACTCTGAGTCCCATGATAAAGAGACGACACTAACTCTGCAGGAAGCTGGTATTTCCTATTCCCAGCCATCCAAGATAATTTAAAAAGACCTCCAATGAATATCTCTCCCTCCCTCTATCCCCCAGCTTGCAGTGTGTATCCTAAGCCCTCCCTTTCAGAGGCCTCTTCAAAGCAGGCTGCTCCCAGTCCTCCCTAAGGGCTTTTTGGCCATTCAGGAACCCATGAGCTGGCTGCTCTTGGGGTCCTCAAACTCCCTATGTCCAGATCGTGATATTGGCTTCTGAGTTTTTCTCGCTCCGGTGTACCCTTAAAAAGAATCCTTAGTTAATCTTCACCTTGGTTCTTTCCTACTGAAATTCAGGCAATGGCAAGGGTCAGGGTTAGGGTCAGGGTCAGAACAGTCAAGGCTGAGGTCAGCAAACGCAGATGAGTCCCAGGGGGCTGGTGGCCAGGAGGGACAGTTACATTAGTAGTTTAAGAAATCGATCCCCACTTTGACACTCTTTGAAGTGGCTATGTCGACGGCTGTGGCCTTGATCTCAGTGTCCCCAAACTGCATAAGGGTCTGGATTTCTCTGCGGGCAGGAACGGCTGTGCCGCCGGTCCCCGTGAGATCCAAGCGGAGTGTGCCACACTTTTTCACCCCTGGGTCAGTGATGAAGCTGACATCGTCGTGCTCGGAGCTGTAGATGTTGATGATGATGACCAACTGGGAAGGTTTGGCTGGAGTGTAGCTACGCTTGACCAGCTCCCCCAGGGCCACAGACTGGTCAGCAGAGATGAACTTGTCAAAGACGTCAGTGCACCAACGCGTGCCATCTTTTACGAGCAGCTTCTCAGGAGGGTGCTTCCCTTCCACGTAGCGGTTCAGCACGCCCACTCCGTAGGTGAGAGGGGACCGGCGTACCTTGATAACGGCAGGGTCCAGGCCAAAGAGGACGGCACCCTTGAGGATGGTGAGGCCCACATCCTGAGGGATGATGATCCTGCATTTGTCACCAAAGGCAGCCTGCACCGCCTGCTGCAAAAGGGGTGCTTCTGCAAAGCCACCCACCAGAAAGAGAAACTTGACGGTGGATACCTCAGGCTTCTGAAACAGGTCTCCTGAAAGGGAAGGAGATGCAAAGGTCAGGTACCCAAAAGCAAGCCAACAAAGGGGAAGCCCAGCTGTCTGAGCCTATGAGTCAGCTGACAGATGAGCATCAGCTGGACACTGGCTTTGCCTGAGCTCACCGAACCCAGTTTTGATTGAGCTGGTCTTGTGAAGAATCATCGAACCCTGTTTTGATTGAGCTGGTCTTATGAGGAAAGCATACACACTGTCTGCTTAGGAATAAAGGTCAGGGCTGTGCCAAGTGGAATCTTAAGTAAGCTGTCAGAGGCCATAGTGACTTTAATTAGAATTCATTCTTCTTAACAACAGTGATCCTCTAAATATGTGGTCCGGGCTGTTAGATATTACTGTCTCTGATATTCACAAAGGTGGGTGAGGGATGCATGAAGGGGTTTGAATCGTGGGTGTCCCTGGGGGAGGATAACCAACACACAAGAAGGCAGCACAGACAGACCCTGTCTTGCTAGAATCCTTCCTTGATTCACAAAACAGTTCCTTCTTGCCCCGTGAGCCAGGGATTTCTAAGATTTCCTGACACTTCAAACAAGATACATTCCCAGGGCCTGTCACTCTAGGGTAGTATGGCTTCAGAGTTTCCCGACCTCTTACCCTCAAGGCCAAAGCAAAGCCCAGGTGAGGACAGGTCCTCAGCTTCCTCAGCTCAGCAGAATTAGAAGAACAGTTTTCAGAGCCATGTTCAACAACCTCCCTCACGAAGTGCTCAAGCCTTGACCACTCGGGAGCAGGCTTGAGCCTTGTAGCTTCCAGATCCAGATTCCCCACCAACTGGGCTGTGTAAGTACTGTCCCTATCCCAGCTCTGTCCCACAGGGGCTAAGAAGGCCCCGGAGGACACTCACGGAGGTGCTCGATGATGCTGTCAATGGTCGGCTTGAAGAGGGCGTTCATGGCATCCGGACTCATCCTCAGCATACCCTGGGAGGACCACTTCACAAAGTCCACACTGGGAGGAGCATCAAGAGGAAGAAGCTGTGAGTAAGTGCACGGCGCCAGGTTGACCTGCACAGATGTGTGGCCTGACGGAACATCTGTCCCACCACGGGGATAAAAGGGTTTCAAAGTTAAAAGCATTCTTGGAAATTCCTCCCAAGACTGCCTGGACATAGATGCTCAGATGCCCTAGAGCTAAAACATAACTTATCTGTTTCTCCTTGCTCTGTCGATAGCACCAAACTCCCCCAGCATCACAAAGGCCGATGCCCAGCACCAGAGGCAAAAAGGTGAGTCTCTGCCTTTCATCCTTACCCAGGGATAGTTGGACACGCGAATGTTAGAGGCCCATAGGATGAGCGTGTTGAACTGACCTAAGCTACAAGCCTGTGATCAGACATGTCTCCTCATCTCCTCAGCTCTCCAGGCCCCTGCGGCATCACAGAGGTGAACCCAATCTTACAAGACCACCTCTGGGCCTCTGGGTCTCCAGCCAAGACCCAGCATGACCAGGGCAGCACTGTGGAGCAGAAAGAGCACTGGACGGGGAGCTGGGCTTCGGGATGGCCCCATTACTTAGTAGTAGCCATGGACTTTTCACACACGCACACACACACACACATCTTCTCTGAGTCAGGACTCTGTGGCTAGAAGTCAAGGTTAACAGTTCTAACCTTAGTGCCTCTCCCAGGGGAGGCTGTGAAGATCAAGGAGATGCTGTGTCTGTGAAACACTTAGCAATGTTTTTTTGTTGTTGTTTTCCCCTAGTTTAACTAATGTTGAGAACTAAAAAGTACTGAAAACCATTCATTATCCAGACTCTCAGTAAGACCCAGTTTTCCTGGGCCAGGACATATTTCCATGGCATAAACCATAGGACGGTGTGTGGTGGGGAATGGTGGAATGACCCTGTGGCTGGTTGTGACTGGCTGGTTTCCACACTGGGAGGGTTGAAAGGCCTCGGGAACTGTATGCCCAGCACCTAGGATTTGACCCAGAGGACATGTGTTCTTTCAGGGAACCAATGAGGCTAAGAAAGCACCATCCCAGTAAGACTGCCAGCTGGGAGTGGCCCTGTCCAAAGAGCACAAAACCTGAACCAAATCTACTTCGTTTCTCACTAAAAGGAGTCAAGGCTTCTTGGAGAAATGGCCCAGTCCAGTTTTAGGGCAGAGAGTGTGTGTGGTAAATCTGGAGAATCTTCCTAGAGCAGAGGACAAAGATACTTCAGAGGCCCAAGCTCAGGGCTCAGAACCACATGGATGAGGCTGTTCCTGTCCATGGCAGGACACTCAGCACCAACAAGACCATAGTTATTATGCTTTAAAATACATCAACCACAACCACGGTTAAGCCCACATTTCCCTATAAAATAAAACTCATTGCCATTTTGAAGGGTGCTAGGATTCAATTTGTTGTTATTGTTGTTGTTGTTGTTGAGATAGGGTCTCACCATTCTATCTAGCCCTAGCTGGCCCAGAATTTACTATGAAGACCAGGCTGGTCCCAACAGAGTCTCCTGCTTCTGCCTCTTTAGTGCTGGGATTAAAATTGTGTACCACCAAGCCACTTGAAAACAAAAATAACTAGAGGGATGAATAGCTATTTATTCTCTTTTCTGTAGTAACAGAACCTCGAAGGAATAACTGTTTCTTTAAGAGTGTTCCAGACACACCAAACAGGAAGAGTAAGACACAGTAGCATGGCATGCATGGGCCCATCCCTAACGAAATGTGGGTTGTGATCATCAGAGGACACTAACATCCAACAGAAGAGGCAAGCCGGTTGCACATGTCCCCTGATGGGATGAAATAGGAGCTTGCAGCAGCTGTGACCACCCCACACAGGAACTGCCCGAGGTCAGCTTTCAATTTTCTGTCATGGGAGAGGAAGGATCGGAAAGCCCTGATAGTTATAAGTAATGATGGTTGCTGTAGAGGGAGAGATGCTCTCCTTCCAGTGACACGGTGGTAAGGTGCCGTAAATAACTTCTCACCAACACTCCTGGACACAGCTCTAATGAATTTGGGGGACACACACACACACACACACACACACACACACACACATAAAGGGGACTGGTTGGGTATCAATTTGACACAGGCAAGAGTCATTCTGAAAGAAGGAATCTCGATTGAGAGAATGCCCAGAATGCCCCCATCAGATTGGCATACATGTGTCCTCTCCCTTTCCCTCTCTCCCTCCCTCTCCCCCTCCTCTCTCCCTCCCCCTCTTTCTCTCTGTCTCTCTCTTCCTTTTGTTGTTGTTTTGTTTTGCTTTTGTTTTTGTTGTTATTGTCTAAGACAGGGTTTCTTTGTGGAACTTTAACTGTCCTGGAACTCACGCTATAGACTCAGCTGGCCTCAGAGATCTGCCTGCCTCTGGCTCCTGAGAGCTGATATTAAAGGCATGTACCACCAATGCCCAGCTGGGCCTGCATTTTCTAGTGATTTCTCTGGGAGGGCCCAGTCCATTGTGGGTGGTACCACCCTGACAGGTGGTCCTGGCTGGCATAAGCCATGAGGAGCAAGCCAGTAAGCAGCACTCCCTCATGGCCTCTGCTTCAGTTCCTGCCTCCAAGGTTCCTGTCCTGCTTGAGTTTCTGTCCTGAGTTCCTTCTGTGGCAGACTGTTACCTAGAACCCTGAGATGAAACCCTTTCCTCCCCAGCCTGCTTTGGTCATAGTGTTTTATTATAGCAATAGGAGCCCTAACTAAGACAAGGAATGAGATCAGAATACTTTATACACATACATAAAAATGTCATGTTGAAGTTATTACATATAATTATTGTGTGGTAATAAACATAAATTTATAAAAAGAAAACTCCCACTTATTAAGTAGATTTGCCAAAAATTCAAACTTTAATCTGGCTAAGATTCAAAATCAGTGCATTTACAAAAGCATAGCAAGGGACAGATGCAGACCGAGGAACCAGTGAGCAAACATAGGCTTCGGAAAGCTCTCAGGGCAGCCAATCGGCCTTGACAACTAATACACCATGAAGGGTGAAACCAGGAGGGAAGTTTGTGTGTGTGTGGGGGGGGGGGGGGGCTTGAGATACTATGTAGCCTTTATTCGAATATTGATACAAATGAAAAAAAAAATGAGACAGAAACTGCAGATGTTAACTGGATTTAAGCCTCCCCTTTCTTAATGCGTGTGTGTGTGTGTGTGTGTGTGTGTGTGTGTGTGTGTGTGTGTGTGTGTCTGTGTGTCTGTGTGTGTCTGTGTGTGTGTGTCTGTGTCTGTGTGTGCATGTGACCATAGAGAGAAAAGAGGAAAGGAGAGAAGAGGCGAGGGGAGAGGGAGGGGAGAGGGGGAGGTCAGAGGGCAACCTCAAATGCAGGCCCTCACCTTCCACCTTGTCTGAGATGGGGTCATGGTGTTTATCACAACAATAGAAACTGTTTGCTGCTGAGCATTTCAGGTTACCTGCTGGCAAACTTCAGGGGCTCCTCCTGTGCCCACCTCCTCTCTTGCTAGAGGGATGCTGGGGGTACAGATCACGGGGTGCCTGGCTTTCTGTGGCCTCTGGGAACCAAACTCTTGTCCTCTCATTTGTAGCTCAAGTGTTTGACCCACTGAGCCACCTCCCCAGCCTAACTCAGTAACTAACACACTGAAGAGCAGTGTATTTTAAGAAGGGTAATGTTACGGACATATTAAAATGTATCTCCCTTAGAACTCCAGCCTGACACATTAGTGGATTAGATCACAATCTGAGGTTTTCTTTGAAATAACTGCAGGAGGCGTATGTGATTTAGACTGGGTAGGGACTGCCATTGACTGAAGGTGTGTGATAAGAGTTTCATCTTCCATTATAAGGAGGACATTAAGAGGGGGTGACTATGGGAAGTTGTAGGATCCCGAAGGGCTGCCATGCCCTGACTGAGACTTTCTGTGTGCTACTGTCTGCCAAGTAACATTATGAAGTTTTTCTAAGAACAAAATATCCTGTTGAAGGTGTGATGCCCTGGGCAGGGACCTTCCACTATGCAAACCACTGCCCCCCAGTTGAATTCCTGTTTGTGTTTTTCCCTCCCTGGTTTGGTGTATATTGAACCTTCTCAGTAAAAGCTTTGGCATTCTCTCATAACAAATGATCCAAGTCTGTGTCTTCCTTTAATCCCCTAGCCCTACACCCAAGCTCGATACCATGGCAGCACTGGCACTGTCAAGGAAATAACAGATACGAAAATTTGTCAGACCATGGTAACAACCAGTTCGCTTTGGACGTGTATGTCAGAAGTAATTTTTGGTCCAGTCTTGGTATGTTGCCCAGGTTGGCTTTGAACTCAAGACACCTCTTCCTTACCCTCCACACTGTGGGGATTACAAGCATGTCTTATTACATATGGCTCAAAAACAACTGTTTAAAAGTTATCAGACATGTAGGGGTTTTTTATATTTAAAATTTTTGCAGTTTTAATCCCAATCTTCCAGATGGGCTCATTTTGCAACAGACTGAGCTGTAAGTGCAAGCTAGGGCCTTGGAGAAGCAGGAGAAGAAACAGATCCCTACTGGGGTTCGTTTAACTAGCACACACTGAGCCCTCGTCTAGACACCAGGCTACAGCAGCCAGTCTTGTGGTTTGAATGAGATTGGCCCTCATAGGCTCATATATTTGAATGCTTAGTCATTAGGGAGTGGCACAGCTTGAAAAGGATTAGGAGGTGTGGCCTTGTTGGAGAAAGTATGTCTGGGGTGTGGGGGTAGGGCTTAGAGGTTTCAAAAGCACATGACAGTCCAGGCCCAGCCTCCCTCTCTCTCTCCCTCTTTCCCTTCCCCTCCCCCTTTCCCTCCCTGTCTCTATTTATCTCTCAGCTAGTGGATCTGGATGTAGAACTCTCAGCTCCTTCTCCAGACCACGTCTGCCTACATGCCTCTATGCTTCCCGCCATGATGATAATGGACTAAACCTCAGAAACTGTAAGCAAGCCTCTAATTAAATGTTTTTCTTTATGAGAGTTGTCTTGGCCATGGTGTCTCTTCACAGCAGTAGAACAGTGACTAAGATCCCACCCAAACAAAACATCCTGTTTTCACAAAGCTATTATTTCCTCAGTGAACATACCAGCAAATACGCAGAGACCATGCTTTCTGTGACCTGGGTATTATGCTAAATGCCTAACAGACAGGAACTCCCGTTACTCCCACAACAACCCTTTGAGGTGAGCAGAAGGGTGAGCCTTATTTCCATAGTAACAGTAAAACTGAGGCATAGATAAATCAAGTTGCTTGCTTTAGAACACACCATGCATAGCGTTAGAACCCGGGGCAAGCCAACTTACTTGCTCTTCCTCAGGGCATGCTCCACGCTGTGGCCCCGGAACTTCTTGTAGTAGTCAATGAAGGAGAAGGGCAGGGTGATGTTCAGGGGATTGGTTCTATCTGGAGCAGCAGCTCTTTTGCGAGACTCAAAGGCGATCATTAGGTCAACCCAGGCTGCCGGACGTTTGATCTTGAACTGTTCGATAAAATCCTCTCCAAATATCTTACAAAGCAGTTTTTCAAATTCGTAATCTACTCCCAGGGATCCGTACGGTCCGCCTGAGGTGGAGGACATTGTGAGCCCGTGATGTTAGAGAAACTGAGAGAGACTAAGGCTGAGTGCTGAAACGTGGACCTTCCCTGTGTTCTCTGAGGCACACCTCGGCCCACTTGGCTCGCAGACAACTACCATCCCTCCCCTCTCACTCCTCAAAACCCTTGAGCTCTCATTCTTTGGATTTTTTTTTCCTGCAGCAACCTATCCGTTTAAATATTCTTCTTTATAAATAAAGTCAATACAGATAACTAACTTCAAAAATCACAATATTCCCTCTCAGGGAACCCACAGGTGAGCACTGGAGACTGGAGAATTGGCAGACCTCAGGCCATGTGCAGTCTATTGATGGCCTTGCCTCAGCAGACCTTCCCTCCCAAGGGGAAAGGCATGCTCCTTATTTTGGTGATCTTACTCCAGGTGCATGAATCTGGCCTTAGATTCAGATAGAGGTGACGGCCAAGCTATAGGCGAATCTTGGTAAAGCTTCAGGAATAGAAGCCACTTTCCAGTTTGATGCCCAAACTCAAAGGGAGGTTTGGAAGACAATTTAGATACATTTTGCTTTCCAATTGTAAACAGATGGAATGGCCCTCTACCACCCACAGTCCACATGCTTGCATTGCTGAGAGAAATCCGAAGTGGGTGAACTAGAGTGGTGGGGGAGGGGCTGGGATGCTAGGCAGTAAGGCGGCAGCTCACCTGTTGCTTTGTATAGCTCCTTGAGGTGCCCCTCTGGTAACCGTATCTGATGGACGGTCAGGTCTACCGTGCCTCCGCCGCTGTCAACAACCACGTACTTGTCCCCTGGCAAAGGAGACAGCAACCTTTAAGATACATACACCATGCGTCTCTTCCCCCTTGAACAAGCTGGTGAACGATAACCTGGCTTAGTAAGCATCATCAACAGCTCATCTGCACAGTGGGCTTTATTAATTAGCAGCATAGCAAGTTATTTGATAACTAGAGACTCCAATCATACCCATCCAAGAAGGAGGGCTAAACAAGCATGTGTGAAGCAGCAGCTGGGTGAGAGACTCTAGAAGACCAAATATTCATGTCACACAGGGTTGTGTCCCCACCATGTCCCATGACATGCAGTTAACACAAGACTCCGCCCAGAACTGGGGAGCCTTATCTTCCTCAGGAAGAGTCTGTGTGGCTTTCTGACATGCAAAATTGCAGCTCCTGGAACGGAACGGAAGGGCAGCCAAACCTTTAAAGCGCCCGGCCACCAAGCATCTTCCCAAAGCAAACTTAACGAATATGAAAGCGCTTGTGCCAACAATAACAATGAGCAGAGGCAAAGGACATCCCAAGACACTACCTTCCTCCAGCTCAGACCAGATTTCTCCTATGACATTCTCCACCAAAAAGGTCCGACTCTGCCGGTTACGACGGACATGTTCCTTTGCTAGTGGCCAGCAGAAGGAAAGAAAGGAAAAAAAGGACCAATCATAAGAAAGCATGAAAAAGCAGACAGTCATCTGCAGCTGTTGGAGACAACAGCACGGTGGGTTTGGGGATGGAACATTTACTGACGCTTGGCAAGGATTAATAAACATGGGATCAAACACCAGAAAGCCAGTCCCTCAAAGGAAAGAAGCCCTCGTCTTTGTGCCTGGCTGTAAAGAAGCCCTGACGAGATTCTTGGCTCTAGTGACTTTCTTCTGGGTTAATGAAATGGAGTGGTTTCCCAGCAGCCTGTGGTGCACTGGGTTAAACCATTTCACCTCATGGTGCTTTGGAATTCTGGACACATCTTCCTCATGGGAATCTCTAGGATAAAAGGATTGAGAGCCGTTTCCTGCAGCTGTTGAGGACAATGTGCGCTTCTGCCACATGGTGGCGCTTCGCCCACAAGGTAACATCTGAACCTAGGGAAGCCCAGCCTGCATCACCAGGGTATCCAGGGGAAGCCTCTGCCTGTGTGCCCAATGACTGGACCGCCTTTGAGACAGACAGGGCACAGGTAAGTGTCCTGTGCTCAGCTGAGGAAAGCTGGGTTTCTTGTTTGGAAATATGAATCCTCAGATCAAAGACCCTTGCTAATTTTAAGATCTAAAATTCCTAAGTTTGAAAAAGCAGAGACAAGGGCCTGGAAAAGCAGCAGGTCACAGCCAAGTGGGCTTTGAGTGGACTTTAGCCCTTTGGGCCTCAGTCTTCTGATCTATAACATGGGGATATCACTAGCTGGTCTAGATTCCTGCTACCCTAATGCATCTTGCTTATCCATGACACACATGGAGTGACAACTGCTCACACACAGTAGGTGACACCAGAGGCAGAACACCTACTGTGAGACCTAGTGGTCAAGGAATGATGAATGGTTTATTAGAGCAGCCCTGGGGTGACAGAGGAAGATTCAGCTGCCTTATCTGCCTCTTCCCCTTACCATCATTATGTTCTTTAAATCCCTGAGCTACCCTACCTTTGAAATGCCAGAGAATCCCTCCTTAGTGATCATCCAACAGGTCCCTCCACCTTCTAGCCTCTTTCTGTAAGAAGCGAACTGCTTCTCAAATAAACTTCTCTGAGGATTAGACCAGCAAACACCCAGTTAGCTCTAGGTTCTTCAGAGCCTGGGCTGGAGTGGTCAAAGGGACACCCTGGGAGGGCTTCCCAAACCCGGGATTCTCTCCTACTTCCCACACAGGGGGGCAGGTGAAGTATATTAGAGATAGAATACTTCCCTAGCATGCAAGGAGGCTGAAGTCAGATCCTAGGCACAGCAGTAACAACAAGAAACAATGTCTCAGACCTTGCCGCGAGTGGGGCTCTAGCTCCCTAAAACAATTCAGATAGCTACAAAATGACATTCATTAAAACAAAACAAAACAAAAACCAAGCTGAGCAAGGACCGCAAAACATCTTTCCACTTCCCAAAGAACTATCCCAGTTTTTCAGGTAGATTAACCCCAAGACTGAACAAATGTTTCTTTTATGGATCCCATTAAAACCTATCAAGAGTAAAATATTGTTCCCTGCAAACCTTAACTGAGGAAGCCCAGTGTCTGTCAGCTCCATCCCTCTGCAGTAGCCTCTCCCCAAGGACTTGTGATTATGAAGGACCCAGCATCTCAGATGTGCTGAAAACATGCTCGGGGTGGGGGGGGATACCCAGCTCCCTACCCCTGGGAGAGCCAGTCCAATGGCAATGCAAGGCTCACACCTAAATCCCGTCCTTGCTGCCCCTCCAAGGCATGTTGGTCAACAATGAGGGAAAAAAAAAAAGAAGAAGAAGGTCCCCGTGAGCATATATAAGACTGCAGCAAAATCCACAAACTACGGGACAGTCATGACAGGAGCAGGAGCAGCAGCAGTGGATGACACGGCAGATTAAAGGGGAAGTTAGACAGATCAGAGGCAAGGAAACCCAAAACCAAACTCCCAAGGAAGACTCTCACTAGAAATCAACAGATGCCTTCTGAAAACTGAGGGCCGTATGTAAAAGCTGTACTGGAGTCAATGGACCCTGATATGAATCTCTGCTTATGAATTGAGAAGTAGCTTATAAGGTACGAGTTTGGTCTTCTTCCAAATCAGACTGTGGAGAAAGATGTGTCTTTGTGTTTGAAATGATAACACGAGTTCCCTAGAGGAAAGGCTGGCCCTGGCATCCTTCCGGCAAAGGATTGATGAGAATAAGGACTAATCCAGCCCCTGGGCCAAAGGGAAAGTCTCTGCATTCATTCTGGGAAAATGGATCTAAGGTGTTAGCGCATAGCCCCTGGCAAGCAGACATAGCAGCTGGGGACAAGCATTGCTCTTGCCACTTCCTGGTCACAACTAATGAGCAGACCTAGGGATTAAAAGGAAAGGGTGTCTCCTGGGACAGGGCTGTCAGAGGATGACTGAGGAGTGACCTGCAGAAAACTGTACACACAGCAAGTGCATCCACTCAGGGGTCAGCCTGGGCCTGGGGTCTTGGCTTCCGGTGTGGGGACCATGGAAAAGGTAGGTCCAAGCTTAAGCCAGGCAATACTAATGTTCTTCCTGTCCTCGCCTGGGCCTGGGCATTCCAGGGCCACTTGGGGGTGGACATGGGTAGAGGGTGCATGTCTGCCCACTAGGTCCTCATCGAGGAGCTGAGTGGGACTTAGAGCTAGGGAGTGCAGCACCTCCCAACACAAGTGGTATTCTCCATTAGAACCCAAGCTTTCAGTGGTGTTCTGACCATGATGCCGCCTCTCCAAAACCCTGGAGCCCTGGGTAGACCCACAAACAGAGCAAGCAGTGGAGCAAACGGTTTTGAGGACCGAGATGGTCCATTTATGTAGGTCATTTATTCACGAGGCAGAGCTCCTTAAAATACTCAGTCTGGGTCAGGCTGAGCAAGTGCTCCTTCCCACAGCTAAGGGTACATCTCCTGGGTCAGGACAGATCGGCCCACTTGGTGTGTATAAGGCACCTGATGAGCTCATCCCACCCCACAGCCCAGTGGGTGAGTCAGGAACAAGTCAACAATGTTAATGGAGGAATTAATAGCAGGCCAATTAGATTAGAGTAACTCAGTTAATATACAAGCCGTCTCAGAGCCTAGTAAAATGTGAGGCTAAGAACCACTCTCGGGCCACCCTCAGGTTCTTGGAGAGATGTCCCCAAGGGGTGACAAGTCAGGTTGCCAATGTTTAGTTTATGGGGAAGTGTTCTTAGGGGCCAGATAAAAACACCAAGGAAAGAGAGGCTTAAGACCCGTAGAGCATCCTTACCCTCACAGCCTGAGGGGCCTTTAGTATCATCTAAGCTAAGTAACACCTGGGGGTTGGGAGGGGCCAGCAGAGGGAGGGAGAGAGAGAGCAGAGGTACCCTGTGCAAACCCCGCTCCTACTGTGTCACTGGCGCTGTACCCATTGACCACCGCCTTGCTGCTGAGCTCGATCATCTGGTGCAGCCGCAGCTTCCTGCAGTAGATGGAGGCAGCCTCGGGCTCCAGGGCAATGATGAGCTGCTCCGAGTTCTCGGGGGAGGCCAGGCCTGCCTGGAAGACAGAAACAGAAGCTGGGACCTGGGATTCCCTGGGCAGGCCTGCTCGGAGGACACCACACACCTTGTCTTGAGGTTGGAACACCCAAGGGAGGATCTGAGTAATAAGCCTGGCTTGCTCAGGGTAGGAGTGCTGTCCCCCCCCCCATAGGCATCTGTGGAAATTAATACTAGGAGTGACCTGATACTGAGCTCTCAAAGTCCCTGTAGGCACAGGGCTCCTGGGGAATCCTGGCTATAGGGCCTCTGGTCCCTGGGGCTTGTCCAGATCAGAACTGGAGGAGACAAGAAGCCGATAGGCCAGGGGTAGAGGTGAGGTTTATTATGCAAGCAGCTGGGAGACAGTCACAAAGGTCCCAACGCTCTGAAACCATCTCAGAGAGAGGATGGGTAGACCCATTCCTTGTGATAAGGGTGGCACGCCCCCTGACAGAAGCTGTGCAGATCCTAGTCTCCCTGAACCACCAAGCCTGTGACAACCCTCCTGATGTCACCAGAGCGCTTGAACTCTGGCCACCTGCCTGACATGTGAGAGTGGTTCCCAGAGGACACCTCCATGGAGCTCCTTATTTCCTAGAGTGAGGGTGGGCAGTCAGCTGGAGGTTTTAAGCAAGGCCTTTATTCTTTCAGTAGTTTGTCATATAATATTTATTTTATCATTATTTGTTTATTTATTTGGAGAGGGTGGTCTCAGATCTCAGTCTTGCTCTTTAGTCGAGTGTGACCACAATGCATAATCTCCCTGCCTTGACCTCATGAGTGCCGCTCTGGGATTGTGGGCATGTGTGTCACCTCATCTGTTTGACATGATGCTAGCAACCAAAGCCAGGACTTCGTGTGTGAGAGACAAACACTCTACCAAAGGACACAGCCCAGCTTCTACATATTCTTACGATTATGGCAGTTACACCCCTAGGTTCCCGTCTGCAACTCTATCTGCTAATACCTGGGCCCTTCTTTGGCTGGCAAGAAGCAGAAGTGTTTTTGTCCCATGACATGTGACCTGTCCCAGTCACCTCCCCTCCAGGCCCTGGAGGTCCCAATGGCATACTTTCTGCACATACTCAGAGAACTGAGCCTTGGTCTATAACTGTGTCCTTGGGTACTCCCAGAACCCCGGGCCAGAGCAGGAGCTCTTTCTGCACAGGCTGTGCCTGGTGCATGGGGCTTTCTTGGCTGCTGGCAGCAGGAATCATTCACCATGTGCTGTTTTTCTGCTGTTTCCAAGGAATCCAGAAGATCTGTCTCCATGCCACTCCCACTTGGCGAAAGTCTCCCACTCCTACCCTCACTCTATACCAGAAGTTTAGCAGACAGAAAGTGTCCCAATGGTATATATTCCACAGGAGGAGCAGCTAGGAGCCAAGGGGAGAGGGGAAAACCTTCCATGCAACTCCTTCACTAAAGGTTCTGTCTTAGTTGCTTTTTCTATTGCTGTGATAAAGCACCATGACTTATACAGTTAGTTATAAGGTTACTGTCACTATGGTGACAAAGGGTTTAATCATCTTAGACTTCTACATTCCAGTTCATCATCAAAGGAAGTCAGGACAGGAACTCTAGCAGGGCAGGAACCTGGAGGCAGGAGCTGAAGCAGAGGCCATGGAGAGGAGCTCAGCCTGCTTTCTTATGGAACCCAGAACCTCCAGCCCAGGGATGGTACCACCCACAATGGGTGGGACCATCCTCTGTTAATCACTAATTAAGAAAATGTCCTACAGGCTTGCCTATAGCCTGATCTTACTGAGGCATTTCTTCAAATGAAGCTCGTTCTGCTCCAGTGTCTCTAGTTTGCGTCAAGTTGACATAAATCTAGCCAGCACGATGAACAGGGCAGCTTATAGAAAAGAGTTTATTTTGTCTTACAGTTCCAGAGAGTTAGAGTCCACAATGGTAGAGCAATGGCCTAGTGGCAGAAGAAGGGCTCACATCTTGAGCCACAGGCACGAAACAGAGAGGGCACACCAGGAATGGCTCTAAGCTTTTAAACCTCAAAGCCCTCTCTCAGTAACATACTTCCTTCACTAACGAGATAATTTCTAACCCTCTCCCCACAAAATAAACCCCAGTTCTACTACTGAGGACCAAGTGTTTAAATGTCCAAGAGAATGAGGAGCATTTATCACTCAAACCACCATAGACAGGAAGACACCAAGGCCCAAAGAGAGGGTAACCAACTACCCCAGTTGTCTAGGACAGGAAGTACTCTGTGGAACATGAGGCTTGAATAGCTAAGCAGAGATGTGTTCACACATCTGATGTCAGCACAGGCCAAACCAGGCTCCTTAAATCACACCAACTCTCCTACCTGGAGTGCTGACATTACAGGGGAGAGACCTGGGCCTGGCCCTTTGACAAAACCTCCTCCTCTGGTTTTAGGCACCATCTCTTCACCCAGTATCAGATAAAGCATTGCCTGGGGTTCTCCATGGCAATCACACTCCAATGTCATTGATAACATCTGAAAGAGCTGCACCAACCAGATAGAAGGAAAGTCTTCATTCTGGATGCACCATGTGCCTCTCTAGGACCATAACCACCTCGGGATGACTGGCTTCAAAACCCGCACTGATGCTCTGCACCAGTCATGGGGTTCCCCTTCCCTACTGCCTCGATCCCTCAGCTACAGCCAACTACCTAGGCAACAATGGCACACATTAGCCTGGACCATGGGGCGAGTGAGCTGGGCTGTCCTTATGACACTGGCTTAGGCATAAAGGGACTTCCTCCGCTCCCTGTGAAATGGTTGCAAGTACTTGTGCCCCAGGACCACCTGCTCCCCAGGTCAGACCATACACCCTCAGCAGACGGACAGCTGAAAGGTAAATGTACCCCAGTGTGATAGGATGGGTCAGACACGTGAAGTACCACAGGGATTCGGAATCTGCCAAGCCTGATTTACTTAAAACCAAAGTAAGGAAGGACTGAGCTCCCCTGTTGAAGGACAGCCCTGTGCTGGACAATTCTTTTCTTTTCTGGGTTCCTAGCACCAAGGGCCTCCTGGGAGAACAGATGCCCAGAGTTAGCTTCACCAGCAAGGGGTGAGAGGGAAGGGGAGGCTCAGTGTGTTGACATCCTGGGACCCTGTGTACAAGCTTCTGGAATTCATACTAGAAATGAAACCAAGGTGATGGGACCGAGCCCTGGTGGAGTCCAAGGACCAAGAAAAGTGCTGCTCAGCACTGTGGTCACACTCACAGACACACATATACACATGTATCTAAAAATAAACTCTCTTTAAAAAACCAGACATAAGCCAGGTGTGGCAGTGCATACCTTTCATTTTGGCACAAAGCAGACAGAGGCAGGTGGATCTCTGTGAATTTAACACCAGCCTGGTCAATAGAGCTTACTGCTAGGACATCTAGAGCTACATGACAGAGAGACTCTGTCTCTAAAACAACAAGAAAAAGACATGCCAAGGATGATGGATTCTGCCCCACACAGCAGAGGCCATGCCCACATGGAGGGGCTGGCTGGGTTTCACAGCAATGCCTGTGACCCATTTCCATAGGGGCTCCCACTGCAACTGTGAAAAAATGCACAGAAAAGACAGAGGCGAAGGTGTGCACCCCACTCCAGAAAGGAGGAAGCACCATGATGACACAACATTTGGGTGATGTCAGAGATCTGGGTGGTATCAGGGTTCTGGGTGATGTCAGGTATGTAACCATGGTGGTTTGAATGGGGAATGTCCCCCCAGAGGCTCACATGTTTGAACACTTCGTCCCTGTATGGTGGCTTGAATAGGCTAGGCCCAGGGAGTGGCACTATTTGGAGGTGTGGCCTTGTTGGAGTAGGTGTGGCCTTGTGGGAAGAAGTGCATCACTGTGGGCGTGGGCTTTAAGACCCTCATCCTAGCTGCCTGGAAGCCAGTCTTCTAGCAGCCTTCAGATGAAGTAGAACTCTCAGCTCCTCCTATACCACACCTGTCTGGATGCTGCCATGCTCCTGCCTTGATGATAATGGACTGAACCTCTGAACCTGTAAGCCAGGCCTAATTAAATGTCCTTATGAGAGTTGCCTTAGTCATGGTGTCTGTTCACAGCAGTAAAACCCGAACTAATACACTCTGGTTGGTGATGCTCTTTGAGAAAGCCATGGAGCCTTTGGAAGGTGAGACCTTGCTAGGGGGAGCATGTCACTGAAGACAGGGCTGGGATGTTCAGAATTCCACCCTTCCACTTGTTCCGTCTCACTGATTCATGTTGAGGATGTGCTCTCTAGGATTCTTGGTCCTGAGTCACCATTCCTCCACCAGGACGGGCTCTTATCCCTCTATCTAGAGCAGTGAACCAAAGTGAACTTTTCTCTTCAAGCTGCACTTGGTTGTGGTATTTTATCCCAGCAGCAGGAAAGTCACCAATACAGTAACCATACCCATTCATTTGTTCCAGACCCTGTCGCATTATCCAAGAGGCAGAGGAGCTTTGTTGCCGCCGGTGAGCTCCTATGGAGCCCTGATGAAGAGCTATACAGACAGTGACTGCTCAAAGCACTGAAGGAAGTCAGCTGACTCTCTACAAATACATACTTCTATCTTTCCAGGAGGATCTGGGAACCATTCATGCCCCCCCCCCAGGACAGGAAGAGATAGAAAAGAACTGCCTAGGCCTTCAGATCCTAGACAGCTTCATCTCTGGCAGGAGAACCTGTGCTCAGATACTTAGAGTCAACATCTTACAAGCTCCTTGGCCTAGAGGAGATCAGTGAGCCCATCTGCCTGGGACCAGGGTCTCTCTGCCTTTGGATCTGGTACTTTGGAGTTGCCATTTCTGTGTGAGCTCATCTCTATTGCTGAGGCAGGCATACATAGGGGATAGTTTAGCAACTTGGGACTCTACTCAGTTTGAGCTGTTCATACACACACACACACACACACACACACACACACACACACACACACGACAGCCTAGATCCTTCATCTGAACACACATACTGTCCTCATAGCAATGGAGTTTTCACCGTGAGGACCATCAAACTTAGATTCAGTTC